CTCTCTCTCTCTCTCTCTCTCTCTCTCTCTCTCTCTCTCTCCAACTAGGCTGAAAGAATCATTATAAACATGCTGATAATAAAGAACTTGACTTCAGGAAATCTATTCATTTCACAGTTAAACCTTCATTCTATAGACATGGGAACTTCCTGGCTGACATTCCAGAGGTTACCTAACTATTGTGAGCATCCTTGCCTAGTGTCAACCTCACCATATTATACTATTAGCTTTTCACTTCTCCCACTATAGAACAATACATCCAGCACTATGATCCTCTAAATACAGCAGGAAGGAAAATCATTCACACTGGTAATAAATGTATATCACATTTTCATTGCAAGCACCCTATACTCATCTCCTATTGTAAAGTAATCGTATAACCTAGTATAATTCTAAACACACTGTAACAAACCACTCATTTCTCAGTAATTTGCTAATTATTTTGAGCTACCTGTGAACCTGAGATCATTAGTGTTACTTAAAGATGTTCAACTATATTCAGGCTGCAAAGTTTGCTATGGATTAACTGGGATGAGGCTCAGATTCAAGTGGATTTTCCAGAGAAAGTTGTTAGGGAAATTCCCTCTTTCAAATTGTTCTTTGAAATGTGTCCGAAGGGGTGTGGTGCGATGGAAAGAAAACTACCCTTCAGGTGAAAACCCAGCTCTGCTGCTCATTAGCTGTGTGACTCTGGGAAAGTAATTCCATCTTCCTAAGCCACAGCTTCTCCGTGCCTTGAAGGTAAAAACATCTACCTCACAATGACTGTGAGGATTAAATGAGACAGTGTATGTACACGTGGTATGTACGCTAGAGCATGTACATAAATGTCTTAGAGCACACTCGGCAGTGGGGAAGCAAACATTAAATATAATAACTATAACACTGTAAGTGCTGCAATAGGTACTATGGGAGAACAGAGGAGGAAGTGCGAATCTCAGCCAGAGAGAGAGTAGGGCTTGGGTGGAGGCTGAGTCGGGCTGACTTCGGGATGGATGAGGAATAGATGAGGCACACGTGAGCTGGACTTCTTCCCTGGGTGGGACAAGGAGGCAGGGAACTCCACGGGGGGACAACCTGAACACAGGCAGGGGGTTATGGTCCCTGAGGGAGCTGTGGGGATGGAGCACAGGGTGCTTGTGGGGTGCCGTGGGAGGTGAGGACAGAGAGAAAGGCGGACACCAGGAGAAGGGCCTGCGAGCCACACCAAGAAGTCTAGACCTCATCCCGCATGCGACGGGAAGCCATCAAATAGAAATGTCAAAACAAAACAGTGTAAGCCAGACTTCTGGTTTACAATTTTTTTCTTATCAGCCATGCAGTTTCCACTCTAAGTTTGTGCTCCTGTACAAGAAATCCTTTGAGACAAAGGTTTTCACTGTAAATATATAAAAAGAAATTACAATACGTTTATTGAAATTCCACTCTGTCAGGAACTGCACTAAGTCCTTTGCATGCATTTTTGTTCGTCTTCAAAACATAGTTGCAACATAGGCATTATCATCCATATTTCAAATAAGAAGAAACTGATATTCAAAAAAGATAGTCTCTTGTCCAAATTCAAAGAACTAGCAAGTGACAGAGCCAGCATTAGAAATTAGATTTATCATGCAGTCAATAATATTGTAATAACTATGTGTGGTGTTCGGGCGGCACTAGACTTATCAGGGGGATCACTTCGTAAGTCATATAAACGTCTAACCACTAGGCTGTACAAATGAAACAAATGTAATATTGAATGCTAACTGTAATTGAAAAAAAAATGTAAGAAATTAGATTTATCTATTTACTGATGCACTATCTTCCCGATACATTTTAGGTTACATGAGTTCTACTCCCATGCCACCAAAACTTCAGAGAAAAATAAGAACATTGATTTTTTTTTCAGTTAAATAAAATTTTGACTCTAACTACTTAAAAATATTATATGACAATATAAGAAATGTAGCTAGAGAATTTTTGAAATTCTTACCTAAAGTACTACCTTTCAACATATTATGCTTCTTAGTCTATATGAATTACATGATATTTATTTTTAAAAGCCTGATACATATAGGTATAGTCTATTGAAATAGCTATTGACCTCAAAGTCAAGAACCTAATCATTTTTAATTAAAAAGCAAATATCAGGAAGTCATTTGGGAATTTATCATAAATGTCTCAAATAAATGTACAGCATGGCAACTATACTGTACTGCATATTTGAAAGTTGCTAGGGGGGTAGATCTTAAAAGTTCGCATCACAAGAAAAATAAATTCTGTAAATATGTAAGGTGACGAATAGTAGCTAGACTTATTGTGGTGATCATTTTGCAATATATACAAATATCAAATTATTATGCTGTACACCTGAAATTAATATAATGTTGTATGTCAGTTACACCTCAATTGAAAATTTATAAACAAAACTAGAAATAAAAATAATAAAGGACTCAAAATCTATGGCTTCTAAATAACATTCTAAGAATGCTGCTCATAATCTTTAAATTACTTTAAAATACATAGTTACATGAATATTTGCAAAGACTTGCCATAGCCTTATTTCTTCTACACTAGCTAACTTTACTCAGCTCCACGATTTGCTTCATCAACAAAGGTGGAAAGTCTAGTGGCTAATAAATTTTCAAAGTGCAAAACAAATATTGCCAAACTCCACAAGAAGCACTTAGGAAATACAGACAGTACTTATTCTGCATAAATGCACACAATTCACATAGCCGAAAGGTCATCACTCACTTATAATATTACTGTTCCTTTCCATTAGTGCAAAATAGGATGTATATTTAAAAGAGGCTGTGCACAAAGACACACAAGTGCAACCAATGCCAAGCAAACTATGGTGAACTATTTAATTTTCACTGCAAATAAAATACATACACTCAGAGTGAAAACCGAGATGCCAAATTCCTTCCAAGTATTCCTTACTTTCTAGAGAGCTAAGATAGGAATAAAAACATTTAAGCAGAATGCTGGGAGGTTCCACAATTGGAAAAATACGTAGGAGAGACAGAGAGCAATACAAGTCGTGAACAGATGAGGGTAAGGTTTCTGCAGTTGCTACGGTGCCACACCACCCAATCTTAATTACCTTGCAGTGAGATATGGAGATCGTCGATGCCCGAGGAAACCTGTTCATCTTCCGTGGGAAGCACAGGACTGGATGCCATCCTTTGACTCAAAGGAGATTATACCATGTCCATCTCAGTAAAAGAAGTGAACTAAAAGAAAAAGGGGTAAATGCTCATTAGTAACTCTGCATTCCTAGTAAACATGCATCACCAGAAAACAACAAAAACCAAAACCCGCCCTCCAAAAAGCAGCGCTTTCCAGTGAGTGAGTGTCTCCTTAGTTCATGAGGAACAAAAGTGACTACGCCTTCTTTTCTGAATCATAATCAAGATTTTGCCCTGTGACCTATTCATGCTCATTGGAGTTGCTGGCAGGACTCCAAAAGAGCCAGCATTGTGGATTCTACACTCTTGGTGAAAAGCAAAGCTACGCAGTTAGATTCCACATCTTGCCTAGAGGAATTCAAGTTGACACAAACTGGTGTCTTAGGCGTTTTGTGTATTTTATTATCAACCTTCACCCTGCAAGGATTTCCTTTCAAACTTTTTATTTAACTTACTTCCCTTTCTGCTCCATAAATGTCGCCATTTACTGGAAACAATAAGGGCTGACCCTGCATAGCTTGCAAAGTGAAACTAAAAGAAACTATCAAAAAGAATGTGTTGATGAGTTATCTATTAGACTGAGTTATTTTCCCAAGTACTTGTCTTTCCACCTACACACTTCTTTCTCTATCCACACTGTGACTCTTAAAGAATCCTTCCAGTAAAAGTAATTCTTATTGTGCAACTCTTTAAAAGTATTGCTTCATGTATGTGTATGCCACTGTTAGTATCCTGGAGGCCGAGAATAAAACACTGAGTTCTCCCACATGTATGACTTTTTTATCAAAATAAACCTAACCAAACATATAAAAATATAAAATGTATTAGA